CGCGCCTTGTGGGCGTGGAGCGTATAGAGACCGCGCTCAAGGAACACCTCCTGCGCATCTTTTCTTGCGTCGACAAAGTGCCACGCATGCCTCGCCCGCGATCCTGAGACAGATACAGGACGCGCCCAGGGACCACCCCCTAAGCACCCTCTCTGGAGTCGCGTCTTGGGGGCCTCATGTGAATGCGCGGGGCCGTTCAGTGGGGCTCTTGGATCCTCTTGGGCGTCTCCTGGGCGCCTCTTCGGTTGTCTTGCTGGTGTCTAGGGCTGTCCTGACAGCCCCTTGGACGTGTCTTGGGCGCCTCTCGGGGAGCCCATAAGGAACCATAGGTGGGCGATGCCAGAACTAGTCCCCTCTTGAGGACCACTGTTGGTGGCTCCACCTGCCAAACAAATTAATTTTGTATCTTGTTAGTAACTTCGTCTCTGGTCTTACAGACGATATAGCTCGCGATGCCCTGTGTTCCGTCGAAGCTGGGGCCATGGAGGGGAGCTGGGAGACGGCCTCCAGTCGACTAGACGCAAGAGTGGCCCTTCGCCGGAGTGGCCTCTTGTGCGTGCACATTTGGGGTCCCCCGATCGCCGAACGTGATGCGATAGTAGCGTCTTGCGCGCCTGTGCTTGGTCACCCCGCGGCCCCCAGAAGGCCGCGCACCAAAAGTCACTTTTACCCGGGGCCGCCCTTGCGTGCAGTTGGTCCAGAGGCCGAGCATTGCGACAGCAGTGCCGTCACTCCGACGCCCGGACCCGAGGGCTGCCGGTACTCCACGGCATCGGCCACGCGCTGCCTTGATGCGCATCTTCGTGGGCGCCTGCTTTTATCTTGTGACGCCGTGCGCCGCTCCGCCGACCCCCGCAGGGGATGGGTATCCCCGGCGACGCCGTGGGCTGCGTGGGCTCCCCAGGCCAGGGTAAAGTTCGGCGGCGAGCGAGGGGATACTGTGGTGCGCATGGTCCTTATACAGTTGGCGGGCGAGCACAGATGCCCAGGCGATTCACCAGAAAAAGGAAGGCGCCCCCCTGACGATCAATGTGCAGCGACGTGCGCGTTCGCGCTGAAGTCGAGAGTATTCCTTGCAGGGGCGTGAGGGGAACGAAAAACAGGCCAAGCTGCCTCTGCTTCCCGCCCCACTGGCAGCCCCCAAGGTGCCTTGGCAAGCGCTTGTCTGTTCAACGCGCTCTGCGAGGGCATGGAAGGCGGCGGAGCGAAGGGGGGAAGTGAGAAGCAGAAGGCCTTCTCAGAAGGTGGCGGGGCTTAAGAAGGCCCCTAGCCTTCTGGGAGGTTTTTTGTGCCGTCGGGGAGTGCTCAGAGAACTTCTCAGAAGGCCAGGGGGCTTCCGAGCCTTCTGAGAAGACCCGCCCCTTCTCACTTCCCCCGGGCTCGCCGCCCAAAAGTGAGAAGCAGGATGAGCGATGGAAGGAAGGACGAGGAGCGGGCGGAGGGTAGCGTCAGAGGGAAGGGGGAGGGGGAGGAGGAGGAGGAGGAGGAGGAGGAGTAGGAGGAGGAGGAGGAGGCCTCGCCCCTGGACCCCCTGCGCCGATCCCCGGAGGGCGCCGGGCACTTCCTCGGGGGCCTGGCGGGCGCGGACCGCGGCGCCACCAAAAGCGGTCACAGCAGCAGAGCGTCCGGGCCGACTGCTGGAAGGCGCCCGCCAGGCAGCGGAGGTCAGAGCGGTGGGCAGAGAGAGGCAGCGCTGCCGAGCAAAAGGGCCAAGGCACGGGCATCCTCCTCCTCCTCCTCCTCCTCCTCCTCCTCCTCTCCTCCTCCTCCTCCTCCTCCTCCTCCTCCTCCTCCTCCTCCTCCTCCTCCTCCTCCTCCTCCTCTCCTCCTCCCTCCTCCTCCCTCCTCCTTCCTCCTTCCCCTCCCTGCTCCTCCTCCTTCTCCTCCTCCTCCTCCTCCTCCTCCTCCGCCCGAGGACAGAGCGATGGGCCAGGGCACGGGCACGACCCGGGGCAAGCTGGGCACCGCCCCGACGCAGCGCGACCGCCGGGAGCACAGCAAAAGTGTCGGTCACGAGGATCGATTCTATGCCCGTCGGCCCGTCGGGCCGCCAGACACCTTCGCCCCGCCGCTCGCCCAGATCATCACCTGGTTGCGGGCCCCCGTGGCATGGCCGTGCACGTTGTCCTCCTTTGCTGTTCCGCATTGGCTGTTCGCCCCCCTGGTTACCCAGTTAGCTGGCCTCACACACGGTGAGTGAGCTTTTCGCCCGTCCTTTTTCTCCCTCTCTGTTGTTGCTTCTCACCTGGTGAGTGGGCTCTTCGCCAGTCTTTCCCCTCGTTCTTCCATCCCCTCCTCCCCCAAGCCCGCGCCGCCATGGCGCTAGCCCTTCCGCGGGTCCTCCCGCGCCCACGCCGAGGTGCTGTCGCCCTCGAGCAGTTTGGCAAGGGTCTTCCTCGTGCTTTTCAGTACAGGAATTGACCGGGACTCAATGTTCTCCTGGTTCGGCGCACCCTTTGGGTCGCTCCTGCTTCTCGGCTCCTGCCCAGACCCCTTCCAGTTTCCAGTTCGCCTTCCGCAATTGTCAGCGGCTTCTTCGGTCTCTGGCCGTCCGCCGAGACTGTCAGTACCTGGCCCTTGGCCTGTGTGGAGGCTTGTCTGGTCATTTTTGCCCCGGTTGCCCCCCTGGGACTTCGTGTCATTCTGGCAATCTCCTACCTGTTCAAGCTCTCGCATCTGAGTCTGCCACCCTGCATTCTTCGTGTGCCTTTGCAAGGTCGCCCCTTTCACGGTCCTTGGGGCTTCCGCTGCGTCGTAGACTTTCCCGTTCAAGCGCATCATGGCCTTAGCTAGTAAAGTTCGCCAGGTGCTTTTTCAAGGATTTTTCCATTCTTGCATCCTCGGCACACCCGCGACGGACTGCACGTTCTGAGCTGCTCTCGTCCCCTTCGCCTTCTTCTCTTTTTTCTCCGCTGTGCCTCAATTCGTTCCTGGCGTGTCCCGCTTGTAGCCCGACTGGCGCCTGCGCAGCTAATCGACACTCTTGCGCCCGCTGACTTGCAACAATCGGGGCATCCTAGATCTTCCCTGGGGGCTTTGACAGGTGTTTTTTTCCGTGCTCTTTCTCGGTGCCCTCTTGGGACTCTTGGGGGCCCTCTGGGATGCGTGGGAGCTCCCCAGAGGTTCATCGAGCCCGTCTCGGGGTTTCCCCTGGGCCCTCCTGGTCTCCTCCTCAGCCCCCGTCGGAGCTCCTTCCAGGCCACCACGGAGACCTTTCCGGGTATGCGGGTCCCCACATGAAGGAGCACATGCGAGAGCGCGGAAGCAACGGAACACAGGACGTGCCATCTGGCCTCCCAGGGGGCTTCGCAGGGAGGCTCTGGAGCCATCGTGGAGCCGACTGGAGACCAATTTGTAACATCGCTCGGCGATATCGTGGTACCAGTGGCGACGTCAGGGGGGCATCGGCTCAGTTGGCTATGCCTCGACCCTCGATCGCCACTGATCGCCGACAGGGCCGTGATGGCCCGCCCCGCCCAGGACCACGCGGAGCTGCCTTCGGGTGCCCATCGCCGATGCTTTTTGCCGATGCCCCGGTCCGTGTCCCCGGTCCCCGGAGCAACTCCCCCCCCCCCCCTCCCGACGCTGCCCCTCGACGGGGGCTCTCTGCGCAAAACGGGCGCGGGGGGCCGCGAGGAGGGCGTGGAGGGCCGTGGGGCCATCTGCGGGTTTGCTGACGCCCCGGACCGTGCGTTGGGGAGCGCGCCTCCCCACCCCCCTCCCCCGTCGAGCGCGAGATGCTGGACCCTCAGGGAGGGGGGAAAGGCAGCCTCCTTACGCAGTGGCCGGGCGCGCGACCCGCACACTCGCAATGGACCCACAGAGAAAAAGAGAGAGGGGTGACAAAGAGAGAGAGAGAGAGACTTATGTATATATATATATATATATTCATATACATATATATATATATCTCTCTTTATAAATGAGAGAGCTAGAGGGAGAGAGCGAGGAAGGGATAGAGAGAGAGGGAGGAGATAGCGGCCGTCTTGGCCAGGCAACAGCGCAGCTGCGCCGCCACCCATGACACACACATACATACATAGAGAACCTATGCATATGTATATGTGTATATATATATAAGTACACAGATATATATATGTGTATATGTATATAGATGTATATGTGTCGGTTGTATCTCCCTCTCTCGCTATATATATATGTATAGGTATATATATATGTATATACACGTATGTGACACATATGCGTATGTGAAAATTTGGGTTTCGGCCAATCCCATCACCATGCCTTACTGGGTTGCGCCAGAGGCCTCTGGAATGCCTGCCGGGGTCTCTTGAACCAATTCTCGGGTGCCTCTTTGAGGCCTTTGAGCAGTCTCTTGGGGCCTCCGGTGGGCCTCTTGGAAGAACATTGCAACCCCCTTGAGCGCTTCTTGGGGCATCTTGCATGCTTGTTGGGGGCTCATGTGGTCATGTTGGGGGTGCTGGAAGCAGTATGTTGGGGAAGGGCTCCCAAGAGTACTTCGTTTGTTCCCCCTAGCTTGGGCCCCTCGGGAGACCATTTGAAGCTCTGTTCGTCCGTCTTGGAGCCCTCTTGAGGGGCTGGGCCGTCTTGGGGCGATATTTGGATCATCTTGGGCCGTCTCGACCGGTGTGAAGAACTAAAAAGCGAGAGCGCTGAAATGTTCACAACCGATGCGAAACCAGTATTTTGCTTCTTGGCACCTAGGGGCTCCCCTTGAGGCCCTCTCGTCGCGTCTTGGGATCATATTGGCCCGTGTTTGGTCCATCTTGGGCGTCTTGGAGCGCTCTACGGTCGCCTGGAGCCTCCCGTTGGCCATCTTGGAGGCTTCATTGGACCCTGTGGGCCAGTCTTGGCGGCGTCTGGTCTCGGGAGAAAAATCGCAGCATCACGCGAGCGGCACGCGTCATCACGCGAGCGGCCCCGTTATCTCAGGCAACGTGGCTTGCAGGCCCCTTCATGAATTCTGACAGCAACTCAAGATTGAGCATGGAGGGCGCTCCTCTCAGTGTCTCGCGGCACGGTGACTGATGTGTAGATGCGGTCACAGCTATACAACTGCGTATGAACAGAACTGCTGCGCCGCCATCCATCGTGGACCCAGAGGTCGGCGTCCAACTGGCCCCTGCGGTGGCCTGGCTCCATGCGGGAGGCATCCGGAGCCATCGGCACCCAGTGCAACTGGGCAGCCAGACGCTCACACGCCCTGTCGCCCCTGGCCAGCCCGGGGGGTCGGTGGACTCGCTGCTCCTGCCGGGCTCTGTTCGCGGGGTGCGCTCCCTGAAGGCCCACGTGGCAGGAGATCCGCTCCACCCCGGCGAGGCGGGCCCAGAGCCGGCGGCCACCGTCCTCAGAGGTCCGCCGGAGTCGCTGAACGCCACCGCGATGGCGCGGGACGAGGTCTGGCCCTTCGCCGCACGCAACAGCACCGACAAGCCCAAGGAGTTCGGGTGCCCCATGCCGCCCGAAGGGGGGCGGGAGCAAGTTGTGTCGCAGGATCGCGCCGCGTCGCCGTTGCATCGGTGACGCGGTTCGATGTGGAGCCCGATCTTGTCCCTTCCGACGTCGCCGATGCATCGGCGGTTCAGTGCGACCCGCCGGCCCCATCTGCTCCATTTCCAGTTGGGGGGCTTCCAGGTGCTACTGGCGAGTTCCCACCGGATGCACCAGTCAGAAGATGGGGAGCAGCTGGAGGCACGACAGGTGGGCAGAGAAGAGCCTCATGAGGGCGCACGAGCGCAGGGCCTTCAGCGTGATCATGCAGAACGCGGCGGCCTGCGAGGCGCGCAAGAAAGCCTGGGACGACTACTGCGGCAGCGACAGCGTGGAGATGTACTTCGTCCCGCTGTTGAAGAGCACTGAGGAGCCGTGGGCGGCGCTCAAGGGCCTGAAGCGCTGATAGGCCATGCCCTGTCGCTCAGGCGTACTCTCGATCAGCCGCTGAGGGCACCCGTGCTCCGCCTCGGGGCGCGGCAGCGTTTCCCCCGCGGGTCCAAGCCTCTCCCCTCGATCGTCCATCTCTCGGTATGTCAGCAGGATGCGGCTAGTGCGGCCCGCAGCTGCGCCGTCGCTCCGCACCTCCGGACGCCCGACCAGGGGAGCCATCTCGACCATGTCTCCTACCCCTCCTCCTCCCCTCTCCGATTCTTGAGCGCCCATGAGGCATGGATCCGAGGGCGTATTGTGCCGCCCAGCCGACATGCTCCTGCCTTTCTGAGCCTACTTCTCCTGCGCGCCTGCCGCCTGGGCTGAGGAGGCAGAGGAGGCGGCGGAGGAGGGGGCTCCGAAGCCAGCTCGGCACAGGAGCCCGTGCCAGAGAGGCGGCAGCGGCCTCACACCCGGGGTGCTCGCTCCAGCGCGCATCGGCCTCACTCCACTTGGCGGACGGCGGTGGCGCAGGCAGCAGCGGGACAAGCGCCATCGCACGGCACCCTTCCGACAGCTCGTCGGGAGTGGCGAGGCACAGGGGGCGAGGACGCCGTCGAGGCCATGGCCCGCGGCAGGTCGCTGCACCGTTGCTTCTGCGGTCTCTGCGGCGGGGCGGTGCGACCGAGCAAGTCTCGGCACATGGAGCCTGGAGGCAGGCGGAGCGCGCACCTGCCGTCGCGAACTCCCAGATTGTCCCGGTGGACCGTGGCCCGTTTGCCCCTGGTTCGTCGGGCGTCGGATGTGTGCAGCGGCGCGCTGGGCAAGAACGGCGGCATGGAGTCGCATCCTGCGGGCGAGCCGATCGGCGATGGCTCGGCGCGGGTAGCGGGGGCGAGCGGCCGCGAGGCAGCTGGCGGAGCGGGCGGGCGCCGTCGGGAAGGCGGTCTTGCCGCCACGAGGGCCCACGTGCAGATGCTCTCCCTCCCTGCTCCGCCGAGGGCAGTGCCGCACGATGCTGCTGACGGCATGGAGCTGGCCCCGCCCGCGGCGGAGCAGTTTCATCGCTTGTGGCGCTGCGAGGGCGGCGACGAGCACGGGGGACGGCACGGGCGAAGGGGGGGGACAAGGCTGAGTGCGCGGGCAGCGCTATGGCGGAGGCCCTGTGCGATCGGGCGAGTGTGCCGGCCGCGTGCGTGCGCGAAGCGCGTGGGTGAGCAGATCAGCCCTGCCTGCAGCGACCGCAGCCCTGGAGGCCGCATGCAGTGCCGACGGCCGTCGGCATGCGCGCGCGGCGATCGATCTCCCGACTCCTGGCTGGCGCCTCGAGGCGGGTCTCCGCGGCGGAGGCCTCGCACTGCGCTGGAGGAGCTGCAGGTGCAGCAGGCGGAGGCGACAGCCGTGGCCTCGGCTGGTGCCCTGGCGCGCGCGGGGCGCCGTCGGTGGGCCCTGCTCGGAAGCTGTGGGCAGCGGGCGCCTGCGGTGCGCGCGCGGGGGCTGGGGGCGAGGGTGCGCCGGCGCCGCGTCCTTGCAAGGTGCTGCGAACTTTTAAGGCGAATGTGCGCGGTGCGAAGGCGAGAGCCGCATGCTGAAAGCCACCCGCCCCCTCCTCTCTTTACGCTGTTGCACATTCCAAGCTTCAGGATCATCCATGGTGAGGAGTCTCAGGCACAACGAACAGCCTGCATTACCGACACCTCTCGGTGTGCGACAGGGACGAGTGCTGTATAAGGACACGGGATGGAGGAGGAGGAGATTGAGGATACCGAGAGGAGGGGCAGGAGGAAGAGGAGAAGGAAGAGGAGAATACGTAGGATGAGGGAGAGGAGGAATAGGAGGAGGAGGGGGAGGATGAGCAGGAAGAGGATGAGGAGGAGGAGCAGAAGCAGCAGGAGGGGGATGATGATGATGATGATGATGCTTATGATGATGATGATGATGGTGGTGATGATGATGATGCTGATGATGACGATGATGCTGCTGATGATGATGATCATGATGACCATGATTTTGATGATGATGTTGGCTGATGATGACGGTGATGCTGATGATGATGATGATGCGGATGATGCTGATGATGATGCTGATGATGAGGATGGTTATGGTGGTTGTGATGGCGATGATGATGCTGATGCTGATGCTGATGATGATGGTGCTGATGCTGTTGCTGATGCTGATGATGATGTTGCTGATGATGATGCTGATGCTGCTTTTGATGATGATGCTGGTGCAGACGATGACAACCATGCTGTTGCTAATGGTGGTGATGATGAGCATCGGGATGATGATGATGAAAAACATAATGATGATGCTGATGCCGACGGTGTTTATGAGGATGATGAGGATGCTGATGATGAGGGTGATGCTGATGGAGATGATGCTGATGATGATGATGCTGATGATGATGCTGATGATCATGATGATGATGATGATGATGATGATGATGATGATGATGATGATGATGATGATGATGAGGATGATGATGATGATGATGATGATGATGAGGATGATGATGGGGATGAGCATGAGGACGGCGATGATGATGATGATGATGATGATGATGATGATGATGATGACGGTGAGGCTGATGATCAAAATGATGATGATGATGATGATGATGATGATGATGATGAGGAGGAGGAGGAGGAGGAGGAGGAGGAGGAGGAGGCGAAGGAGGAGGAGAAGGAGGTGGAGGAGGAGCAGGAGCAGGATGAGGATTGGAAGGCTGAGAGGATGATGACGATGATGATGATGATGGTGATGATGATGATGGTGATGATGCTGATTATTCATGATGATGCTGATGATGATGATGATGATGATGATGATGATGATGATGATGATGATGATGCTGCTGCTGCTGATGGTGATGGTGATGGTGATGGTGATGGTGATGATGGTGATGGTGATGGTGATGGTGATGGTGATGGTGATGGTGATGGTGATGGTGGTGATGGTGATGGTGATGGTGAGGAGGAGGAGGAGGAGGAGGAGGAGGAGGAGGAGGAGGAGGAGGAGGAGGAGGAGGAGGAGGGAAGAAGAAGACGAGGAGGAGCGTTCTTCCTGGCAGCGGTGGCCCCGGCAGGCCCCCTCCCCCCCTGGCGCAGGTGGCATCGCTGCGGCAGCTGCTGCGGCGCGGAGGGCGCCTGCTCGCCCTCATGGCCGGGGACCCCTGCGAGTACCTCGCGGGCTAGCGGCCCTGGCTGGCGCCGGCGCTGCCGCTCTCTCCAGAGGGTTTGGACGCCCGAAATGGGTACGGAGAGAATGGGTACAATGCCCAAGAACAATTCCTGTTCATTTGGAACAGGATTCGCTGTCCACGCCGCCGCGGCCTGTGTCCACTCGAGACAGAAGGCCGCCTGCCCAACAGCGGCCGCTGTTGGTTTGGGACAACATTTGTTGTTGGGCATTGTGCCCATTTTTTCCGTACCCATTTCGGGCGTCCAAATTTGAGTCGGGCGTGTCCCTCTACAGGAGGAATATTCCAAAATTATCACAAGAATGAGTCTGGGGACGATTTTGGTTTGTATTTTTTGCGCACTTATTTTTCGTCCAAGTTTTGTGTTTACATTGTTGTTTGTACTTTTGCGCACTCATTTTTGCGCCTTGCCTCGGTGCTCCCCGTCCTCGTCCTCCATCTCGTCGGTTTCCGCTCGTCTTATGCGTCTCTTGGTGGAGGCTTCCCTGCCCGAGGGCGCGCTTCCTCCGCTGCGCCCTCGCCGAGGGCGTGCCACGGCCGCAGGCCAGGCATGAGGCCTTCGGCTGCGCGTCAGAGCGATCCTTCGCAGGGGTGACCCTGTGGGGCCGCATGGGGTAACCCGCAGCGCGGGCCTGCGCGCTCTGATCTGCCCTCCCCGCGGCCCTTTTGAGGCCGCGCAGCAGAGGTCACTCTTGCCCAGGGCCGCTCTCACGTTCAGCGCGTAGCCTTAAGTCGGGCCTCTCCCTGTACAGGGGGAATCCTCAAAAATATCAAGTCAAAAAATAGTCAGTGCCTTTCTCGTCTCCCTGGGTCACCCACGAGGGCTTCAACATTGTCTTTCGCCGCTCTTTGCGGTATGGGCTGATGGCTGTTCTTTTCCCTGAGGACCAGACGAGAGCGCATAGATAATCTCGCTTCGCGCCGCGCGAAACGCAAAGTTCGGTGACCTACGGCCGAGGTGTCACAGATAACGTGTCTACGCGTAGGGACGCTGAGCTCGCCAGTTTTGCCTAGCGTTTCCCGCGGTGGCACGCTCAGGCGCTTAACGTGTCTGAACCGTCGGCACTGAGCAGAAATTGCAGCAGTCTCCGGCACCTGTTCTCCACCCGACGGGTTGGGGCCGCTAGATTTTGAGAACAGGCATCCCGACCCGTTCACCCTGCATACCGCGGCCGCCAGATCCCAAGGTCTCCCGATGGTCACCGAGTGTCACCGAGAGCCCCGCCTCGCGCCACTCTGCATATCGCTGCCGCCAGATCCCCAGGTCCCCCGAGTGTCCCCGAGAGCCCCGCCTCTCGCCACTCTGCGTACCGCGGCCGCCAGATCCCCGCGTCCCCGAGCGTCCCCGAGAGTACCGCCTCGCCTCAATATGTAACCCGTGGCCGCCAGATCCCAGGTCCCCCGAGTGTCCCCGAGTATCATCTTCGCGCCGACAAATCATAACATGACAACGGTTTTGTAAATCAGAAGAACATGTGTCAGCACATTACTGTAATATATGAATATTTGACAAAACAGAGTGTAACATTACACCGCCGAGCACAACATGCCCAGTCTTAACATACCATATCATGACAGACAAGATCGTAATATAGCACGCCGTGCCAGATCAGTGCAGACCATAGCACAGCATCGCAACACATCACATACCATGATACGACACAGTAGTCTTACACGAATGCCATTTCGCAGAACTGAACCCGCAACAATATAACATCTCACAGTCTCAGATAACATTACATATCGTAGCATACTACACTACACCGTTGCAACGCATGACATGCCATACGGCCATAACATAACACAACACATCATTTCATCATTCCATTACACGTAGCATACCTGCCATACCACACCACGAGATAACACCGCATTACAGCACAGGCAACTTGACAGGTCGCATCGCATGCTGTATGGCACATCCTGACATGACAGAGCGTGTCATGCTATGCTACACCATAACAGAACCCACCATACCATCACGCCATGAGCTATGCCATAATGGATCATACAGGCCAGAGCATGACACCACACCGTATACTATAACAACGC